TGCATAAAATCACATCTAGATCAAGATCCAAACAAGCATGAAAGCAAAATAAATGCATGATAACACTACATATCCCACAAAAACTGGTTTGCTTCAAATCCAAGTTACCTAGTACTAACAATACTGTGAATTTTATGATCATCTTGAAAAAGCTAACGGGAAAATAATACCTCTTTTTTTTATACATATACAGACAAATTGTGTTGGTTCAACTTGGTTGTGTTCTTGGCAATTAATAAATTTGGTTTATGATGAATCAAAACTCAGGAATAAATTTTGAATGTGCTTGTTAAAGGATTTGAAGCATAATTTTAAAGTTGGCGATATGCAAAATTTAACGTGCTTAGTTAGAACTGCATCTGAGGCCGATAGGCAGATAGCCATACTCATTTTGCCGATAGGCAGATAGCCATACTCATTTTGCCGATAGGCAGATAGCCATACTCATTTTGCTACTTCACACTCTTTGAAAACGAAAAGAAACATTAACAAGAAAAATTGAAACTGGATTGTCATGCATGTCGAAAGGGAGAAAGGGTGTAAATAATAAGAGAGGTAAACAAGTGGTGAGAAACTTATTTGGGAATGAGTTAAAAAAGAAACCGTGGTTTAATCCCATATAAAAAATTGTAGTTAAAATACCTTATTATCAAACAATTGATAAAAATGCAGTTTAATCGGAAGTTTGTGATTTACTAATAAAGAAAGCGAAACTGGAAGAACGACCTGATCTGATGTAAAAAATACGCGGGCAGTTTAGACTTAGTCCAAATCAGGTCTAATATCTTGCATAATCACAAAACAACAGTTGCTGACCCTGTTCCCGCACACAATTGTAATTTGCATGAGCTACTCATATCGGAAAGACACCTACGGATCAAACTAAGTAACATCCAATAACTCCACCTTTCTTTATTGAATTCGCAAAACATTTTGCTTCTCGCTAAGCTGACTAATATGAATGAGATCAACCTCTCATGCAAAAGAACACATTTTATACTTAAGAAGATTGGAGTAAATGAAGAGTTCAAAATATCACCCCTAAAAGTTGATAAGGGGCTTCCCTCCATCCCCGAGGGAACAATGTTTTCGAAGTACGTTGTTGGTGTAAAAGAAGCATTCAAGGGGTTGGTGTTATCTCCCCTTGATCAATCGCAACTCGGACGCCACTTCAATTGAATGCCTGGTTTTGTATCATGCCCGGACGAAAAAAAAAACATTCAATAAGAATAAGGATTTCTAGAGATTCTGCGAGGATGAACATAAAGTCCTGCAGCACATCAGGTTGAAGTATAGTTATTGTCAAAGGTCTGAATTTACTCGCAAGGAGCTACAAAGATAAACGCTTTAATTTGAAATAGAGACGGATTTTGAAAGGAAATCTTAAAATGGTAATCTGAAAAATTGAAGCAGATGGTCTCACAGTGAATGCGAGGACTTACGACATAAAGGAGATATCCTCGAAAATCCCGCATGACGAGGTGAAAGACAAGGTTTGTTCAACTTCGTTGGTTGATCGATGAATTCAAAAGAAACAGGCACAAATTAGTCTGAACAAAAAACGGACGGAAATGGGTTACCTTGTGTAAATTGGCAAGAGAAAAGAGTAGTAAATCAGCAAGATTGTTAGATATGATAAAACTTGTCAGTTTCCTTATGGACAATGTGGTGTTCTCATCCGTTGGTGAAGTCCTCAAGCAAAACCAAGGAGTTCCAATGGGAGGGCAAGCATCTCTCCCATTCGTAAGTATTGTCTGTTTGTATTTTGAGAATGAACTCCTGAGAAAACTTGGGGCTGATGAATTTTTCGTTTTGGAAAGCGATACGTTGATGACTTACTTCTCCTCGGACTGCGCAAGAACGAAAATGCAAATAACGAAAATACGGTATCAACCTTTGATATAATCCATGAATGCTACCAAAGAGAATTTAAGTTGGAAAGAACAAACGATGCTGACTTTAACATCATCGAGTTTCCGAAAAGTAAAATCCTTGTTTTGGAGAATCCTAGTAAACAATAAATAAATAAATAAATAAATAAAATCAAATTAAAAAATGTTGTATCCAAAAATGGATAATCCATCCAAGCCTAGGTGACTAGGTCCATGATAACTACGAATTTCCAATAATTTGGTCCTCTGGTACAGAAATGACGACTATTGTCGCGACTTTGCATCGCATAATGGCGAATACCAATACTGACGCGCTACCGCCTTGGCTACTGGTCACTATGCACAGGGAATTGAAGGGAGCCAGGTTTCCCAGCCAGATCATCATGAAAGCCATGAGGAAGATGGTATACAAAATATCTATTATTATTTGACTATATCATTTTATCATTCATTGGATTAATTTAGAAATTCGGATATAAGTACCAGAAAGAAAATCGATTCCTTCATGAAGGAATCGATTTTCTTTCTGATGTAAATCTTAGTAATCATTTTTTTTTTGTAAAGCAGATCTTAATTGTTGGTTAAATATTACTCGACC